GATTATATGCTCATGTATTATCCAAGGAAAGAGAAAAAAATAGTGAATCAAACAGGTAGAGAAACAGAGGCACACCTAGAACATTAATAATCAACTGTTCTACAAAGGTGCCAGGAAAAAAATTTGATGCCTAATTCAGTTATGGGTGGGACCCCAACCTAAACATTCTACATTTCTTTCAAAATTAAAAGACGACAGTCCTTGCAGTATCTTTTGCTCCTCCATCCTAAAAGAAAAACTTATATACCCCAGAAAAAATCTGCGCTAGAGAATTTCTTCGTTGGGTCAACCTTAAATCATCATTTGCTAAGACTGAAAAAATAATGGATATAAGAGGTTTTCCAAGCATTTGTGTTTCAAGGATCCTGTTAAATCAAATAATTGTGCAGCCTCAAGCCCTCAAGGACCATTATTGAAAATTGAACTTTTTCAGGCTTAATATCACCGGACATTGACCATAGATGATTTATATCTCGGGATTGAATGTACACGGCAGGAAAAACGCACCAGAAATTGTAATGCTGTATAACAGCTCCCCTTTAACCAGTAACCATACGCCATATTGACTGCAGTACAAGTGACACATCAGTTCAGGAAGTGAAGCATTCAGCTAGTAACTTGACTAGTAAGCAGATGAAGAAAACTTAGGCATCCATATCTCAAGCATATTCTGGATTCGAATTTCAAAGGAAGAAATTAAAGAAAAGAAACAAGCTCCTTGTCCCATGCAAGGAATCATGGGAAGTAAAAATGACCTCAAGGTCCTTAAATGTATGGTAATAGGATTTTAATCAAATCACCATCACCCAATGCAGTTGACTACTAATCATGAACTAGTTCTTTCTAATTTCCAGTCCAAGACGACCAAAATTAAATAAAGAATCATAAATGATAATGTTCACCTCCATTAGAAAGAAAAATGATGAGGAGAAAATTAGACATGAATGAAATATGAGGTACTCACCCAAACCCAATGCCAGTATGTTTGGAAGAGGACGTGTGCTGTAAAATAGCAAGTGAAACTGAAGAGCTGTTAATAGTACAAAGAAAGCTTCTACTTGGAGACCAAACTTGTGTCGGATCTGTAATAACAAAGCAAAGCTCAGTGTAGGTAATTGGTAGAATTCAGTTTGAAGATACAAAACCAAAGCAGAGATTTATAAAATCTCAGCTAGTAACGATGGTCTAAAGCATAAGTGCATAACACATGGGATATTATATGCACCTTATTTATTTTAGCATTCAAATTTCAGTTGATATCATTGTTATTAAAATCCCGATTTAAATCTTAAAATCTTACGATTTTACGATTCATGTATGTCTTACGATTCGATTTACGATTCTATTCGATTTTACATATTTTTCCAACTAGCGAAATCCTTACAAGTAAAAAATATATTTATATACGTTTTTATAAATATATATTGTCAAGTATTGATTGTTTAATGGTTAAATAACTATTATCTATCAATAATTAGGTTTTAAACTCATAATTTCAATATATTTAATTAAATTTATATTTGACGACTTGATTATTTATGTCGGTAGAATCTTACGATTCTACGATTCGATTCTGATAGCCCCTTTCGATTCAAAGTAGAATCCCGATTTTAATAACTTTGGTTGATATGTTGGTCTATCGTCTAATATACAATGATTTGACTAATAGATCTTTCTGCCCATTTGGAAACTTAAAAAGGCCTAAATCGGTAGCAACTAGCAAGCAATATGTAATCAAAAATTCAAGATAGACAATTCATTTTATAGAGAGATTTTATAAAGATCATGTAAGAAAAGGACACTGTTTAATCAAAAATCTCAAGAAATATTTAATATATTACATGAAGGCACCCACCACTTTCTAATTTTATCATCACTTGGTTATTAGATCCATGTGATTGACAAACACATCACAACTTAGATTTAGTAGATGCAAAGGTAAACAAAGATCAAAAGACAAAATGCACACAAGTAAAATCAAATTAAGTTTATATAAATATTTAACAGTAAGAAGAAACAACATACCTGAAGCCGGAAAAAGCGTAAGGTGGAAAGTATGATGCAGCCTAACACCAAACGAACTAGACAGAAAAGAAAGAATCACAAAATCCAAGTCATGGATAAGACTATATAGGACTAGTGAAAGACAGATATAATAAAATATCAAGAATCACATAAGTTATTCAAAGACAAGCACAACCAGATCCAGCCATCCAGCAATAGATAGGTAGTTTCATAATTAGTGTGTTGTGTAAACTAGACTGAATAAATGACAAGTTTTTAGAACTGAAAAAAAGCATTCATAGTAATTGACGAAAGAAAGAGAAGATGGACTTCAGCTATGTATTAAAGATCAAAGAATCTCACCTACAAAGAGACTATAGATCTTAGGCAAGTGCAGAAAATTGATGACTGATACAAAAGGATATGCCAAAATTGACACAACCCAAGCACCTACCAACAGAAAAAAAAAAAAAAAAAAAAAAAAAAAAAAAAAAAAAGGTAACAATGTTAAGAGAAAATTTTCTTGAAACATTACCTATGAGTAATCAAACTTTGAGACTTGAATAAACGACGAATTATTAGTTTATTACTTGAATGAACTCCTCTCTTTAAAACATCTTATGGGGGATTCTCAACCCCGCCCCCAATCTAGGTAAAGAAACAATCTTTAGCAGGAGCACTTAAATATTGAAAAAATTTACAGCTTATGATAGATACTTTTCCCCAATCATTTTGCAATATCAAGAATAATGTGATTTCCGATCCATGAAACAATAACAATTGTTTAAAATTGCAAAAGACCCATGACTTTGGATACTAATAATACACAAATTTCACTACACAAAACAATGATCAATAGGCAATAACAAACATCAATCTCACCAATGAAAGTCCTCGGAACGACACCGGGAAACTCCAAATGATCATACTGTTGTAAGTGAATCATTAACCATTAAAAATTAATCAATGAAAAAGAAAAATTAGCATAATCACTGTAACCTCAATACACAAACATCACCCAAATTAACATACCTCAGCCAAATGCTGTCGATTATATAGTATATCATGCATTGCCTATTTAATCAAACAATTACAACAAACAATTAAACCAAAAAAATGGATAAATTGGGTGAAATTAACAAAACCCACAAATTAAAATTCTGGGTTTTAAGTGTTATAATACCTGCATATTAAAGCTTTCTTCAACCTTAGTATAAGGTATGGCAAATACATAGAATGCAGCTACTGCTCCCAAAATCAAATCATACCCTTAAAAAATTAATACAAATTCATGAGATTAGCATAATTAAAACCCTATTAATCTTAAAAAAAAAAGGGATTATAAAGTTAATTTTACCGTAATTATCGAGGAATTTGGCAGATTTTCGAGCCATTTGAGCAGAGGCATAAACGTACAGTGAAAAATTGAAGGAAACGGAGTGATGGAATTGTGTTGTTGGGTCGAATTCTGCTGGTACTGGATCACCCTTTACAACGAACTATAACAGTGAATTTTGAACTATTTTTTATGAATAAATTTTGGATTTAATTAAATTTATTTCCCATATAACCACCTTTTAAATATTGTTTTCTTTTGCATATAACCCTCTTTTTAAAAAAAAATATCAAAACCCCACCAAGTTTAAAAGATTTTTAAAACAAATGTTGCAAAAGGTAAGAAGAATTAGATTGGTTAATGCTATTTAGTTGATCAAAGTCAATCTATATCCATTATAATTTTGCAAATGTTTATATACCGAATTATTTTACTTTTAAAAATTCATATACAAAGTAGTTTTTATACATGCTAAGGCCCTTTTCTCATACGATTATTTTTATTTCAGTTCAACTCTAATCAGTTCATTTCAGTTTAGCTCCTAATTTTCTTCTCTTATAAAATATTCAGTTCAGTTTATTTAGTTTAATTTAGTTTAGCTCTAATAAGTTCAGTTCAGTTGAGTTCAATCAATGAGAACAAGCCCTAAATTGTCGTTGTAAAATAGTTTGGAACAATGACAAGTAAATTTTGAGGGTCCGAAATTTACACAATGCACTGTGTCATCATGTGCAAAATTATTAACTTAACAATACATTATACATGTAAACATATTATAAAAAAAATTGATTTTTTTTTTATTTTATTTTAATTATGAGTTTTACATTTAGAGTGCTTATTTGAACCAGAAAAAAAAAACATTTGGAGAACATATTTTGCATTGTTTCTTTTTATCTATTTGTCATGGTTACGTAAATCTTACATTTATTGCTATTAGTTGGAAGCAGACGCAAGACAATATCGGCATGAAAGTGTATATATACGTAGTATATTGCTGAGTACAGAATAAACAAATATACCAACAATAAATGCGTAAATAATTTAATACGGAGTAAATAGATATCGATGCTCGTGAGTCGTGATCACTTTCTTTTCAAAGTCGATTTCATGAAAATAAAGTCTTATTTCTTCTCATTGTTCCTTAAAATTGATTCTTATAGGATCAAGTATATCATATCTCTACTACAAGTACACTTCTAGATATTTGTGTATCATTACTCCGTGTTTAAGAAACTAACAAAATTTTTATTCTTTCTAATATATTCACGTCATTATATCTATAAATCTAGTGATAGAAGAAAACACATAGTAATAAATACAAGCATATTATATTGACTTTTATAATAAAGTTATATACACCTTATAATATTATGTATTATCCTTATATAGGGTTATAAAGAATAACAAAATATGTTAAGTTGTTAACCAATTAAACCACTTTACTCATCGTAATTTGACTTCCACACAACTTCCATCAATTAGCAACGAAGTAACTTAGATGTGCGATACAAGGAATAACAAAACGAGGCAACTACTCTTCCACACCTCAAATTCCTATTTTCTTTCAAAAATTCCAAATCAATATTTTATTTATAATATCATCAAAAAATACAAATAAAATTATAAAATTAGGATTACAAAGACGTCTCTTTCGTGCCATCTTCGTTACTTCCCTCTTGTTGTCTATATTAACTCCCTCACCTTCTTCTTCTTCCTTTCTCTCTCTTCAATTCTCTTTCTCTCTCCTCTTTCTGCTGACCTTCCTTTCGTCGGAGATCCGCTAATTTCCGGTCGATTTTCGCCGGCGAATTCCTTATTCCGGCGACTTTACGCGTTGTTATCTTTCTTCTCGATCCTTCTTCAGTTTTACTGTTCAGTCATGAATCCTGAGTAGTAAGTTTTCTGTTCTAATTCTTCGATTTGATCCGAATTTTGAGGGTTTTGAATCGTAATTTTGTGGAAATTTAGTTGATTGTGTGATTTTGTTGATTGAGGTATTGATTGTTTTTGTTTGTGATTGAAATTGTCGGTTGATCTGTGGTGTTATCTGTTAGATTTGGATTTAGATTTTTTTTTTTTTTTTTTTGTGAAAGATCGCTTGTTTGAATTGTTGGCAAAGGTGAATTTTGGTTGAATTTTGAAATTGGAAGGTAGGAGGTATGAATTAAGGAGAATTCAGTTCATAAAACATCTGTTCAGCGTAATTATTGTTTGTAATAGCAATGAAATTCACGATAGAAAGGTTAGATCGTTGAAAACACTCTATTTCGAGGCGGAATTTGAAGTCTTTTGTGAAATAGGATTTGGTTGGGTTTTTAGAGACATTGGGAAAAGAATAGCATTGTAGTTTGATTTGTGGAAGCATTGAGGACGTTTCGTAGCCGGTGTTGTTCGTCGGAGTTAGACTAAACATCCACCAGGCACCAGCTGTAGCTAACTGTGAACGGATGTCGAGTTTGAAGTTATTGTAGACTTGGAGAACTATTAAGGGCTTGTCTAAGTAAGGTGGAAAATTGCAATTCATTGGGTGAAAAAGTCAGTTATTGAATTTGATGTTCAATTATAGATAAAATAGTACAATTTAGGTAGAAGTCACTTCCTTCGGTGGCCCTTCTACTTCTTACGCCGTATTTTGTCTTGAAGTTTTGTAATGTTGCAAGCTTTTGAATTCTTGTGCTGTAGTTGTGAAGTTTGTGTTTTTTCTTACCTCGAGTGGTGATGCTTTTTATTGCAGTGATTACCTTTTCAAGCTTTTGCTTATTGGAGATTCAGGTGTCGGAAAATCATGTCTTCTCCTGAGATTTGCGGTAAGCTTCATAAGCTCATATTTTATGGGCATTTATGCCTTTTCGTTATAGTTGCTAGATTTTATTTTATAATATATGGTGTCGGACTTAGAAAAGTAGAATGCGAACTATGGTGTGGAAGTCATTTGACTCATTTCTGTGCTTTTATTATTAGAAGACAGGCTTATGAATTTAGTATGCCATTTATTTATCAATCTGCAAGAGAGTGCTTCTGACTTACCCTCCTTTTCTTTCCGGCTTTTTGTAAACATTATCTCTCAAATTTTTGCATTGTGCATGATCTATAATGTTGAAACCTACCTTCCTTTTTTCCTGTCCGTTGGACCTTTAACTAAAGCTTCTGCTGTCACAATCCCCAATTATAGTTATTTGGCTATTATTGAAATTCTTTGATGCTCAATTTTTTGACAAATGATTCCCTAATCTGACTTTACGAGTCTTATATGGAAGGGTGTTATGCCATCTTGTGTAATTGTCAATGTGATTTTGCCTTTCTACCCACTTGACTTACACCTCAGTTTTGTTGTGAGGCTCCTGCAGCTGTCATAGTAGATATATATTGCACGGCTCACTGCTTGCCTGTTCTTACATCCACAAAACTTATTATTGTTCCAGGATGACTCATATTTGGAAAGCTACATAAGCACTATTGGAGTTGATTTCGTGAGTGTTCTCTGACCCAGCTTTTAGTAGTTGATTTGTTCTTTATCTTACTAGCTTGATCTTATATAGTTATATTTGTGAATGTAGAAAATTCGCACAGTGGAGCAAGATGGAAAGACCATTAAACTTCAGATTGTAAGTTTGTTTTTCTTCTGTCTATCATAAAAAAAGAACATTTACTTATGGAGATAATTAAAGCCTTTGAGTGACTTTCTTGGCATGTATGTACTTGTCTAGCCATCCCTTAAAATAAAACATCTAATGTAATAATGCTTTCTCTGACATCCAGTGGGACACTGCTGGACAAGAGCGTTTTAGGACAATCACTAGCAGCTACTACCGTGGAGCACATGGAATCATTGTGAGTTACATAGCTATGCTTTGGCTTAGGTGCCTCTTCTAATTTTTTCCATGATTTCAACACCCCAGCTGATTTACTAACTTGAGTTTTATGTATGACATTGTAGGTGGTCTATGATGTGACAGATATGGAAAGTTTCAACAACGTGAAGCAGTGGCTAAATGAAATTGATCGTTATGCTAGTGACAACGTTAACAAACTTCTGGTTGGAAACAAGTGTGATCTTGCTGCCAATAGAGCTGTTCCATATGAAACTGCCAAGGTTACTAAGCTAACTCATGTTTTGGGATAGGATTATTTTCACCGATCAGCTTTAAATGGGATTCTAACTCTTGATTTGCACCTGTCTTTTATACAGGCCTTTGCTGATGAAATTGGCATACCTTTTATGGAGACCAGTGCAAAGGATGCTACTAATGTAGAACAGGCTTTCATGGCTATGACTGGCTCTATCAAAAACAGGTATATACATTTTCCTGATCTTACTTACATTATTGTGGTTGCATGTATAGTTCTCCCCAGTAATGAGCCCTTGGTGAAATTTACCATGTGACTTAACTAATTTGCAAAATCTTATGCTTTAAAAATGGGAATTTTATAAACGGTTTTCTGTAATTAGTTGCTATTAACAAGTATTTTGCACATGGTATCAATGTTTGATGAACATATATACTGAATTTAGGAAACCTTATACAGGTAGGATAAATCATGAAAATGATTTTAGAATTTACCAACTTTTCTTCAAATATTACATTAATCAAGTATTACAACATTTTATGATGCTTACCATCCGTCCATCCCTAGCCTATATTCTTTAATGTGATAAAGCACCTGGTAGTGCTTGTGTAGTATTATCTGATCTTTTGTGATCTAATGCGAATTTGTCCTTTTGTCATTGAGAATTATTCCAAAATAATGATAGTGCAATCTGATTAGGGTGTAGGATAACCTATAGTGGAATGTTACCTTTTGCTTTATTAATTAGTAATCTCAATATGATTGATGGTATTTTTGAAGTATCTACTTTTTTTATGCCTCTCTTTTTCTTTTTCTTTTCGTGCTTCTTTCTTTTTGAATTTTTTCCTTTTTTAGAAAAATTGTTCAATTAGATGACTTAGTTTTATATACATTTTGATGACAGGATGGCCAGCCAACCCATGAACAATGCCAGGCCTCCAACAGTTCAGATCCGAGGTCAGCCAGTTGCACAGAAGAGTGGGTGCTGCTCTACTTAGGGGAATATTATATTTTGGTGCCACATTGTGGCATGTAAGAATCTGATTTTGCTGCAATATTATTTGAAATTCAACATTCATCAACACGGTCTTATCTAGGTTTCCGTGTTTTTAGTGGTTTGCAATTTGTTAACTTGAAAATTCTCATTCTTTTCTACAAGTAGATTTGTATAAAAATGATGGATTTTACTGAAAATTTTAGCATGAATTTATTTACCTATCATCAACTTTCTGCAGTTTATGTTCCTTTGTAAAAATGATGGATTTTTAGAATTTCTATTCTACCTAATGTGTACATGAGTTGCCATTATATTCCTCTGTAACCTTCACCATACCTTCCTTAAATATTGAGGTGGCTTACTCGCTTGGTAATCTACCAGAAATACCCTACTGCTGCATAATGAAGTTTGCAGACATTTAAGAAATGTACATACATGTATGATTGAGAGACCAAAAAGACTAAATCTATTTCAATAACAAAATTGAGCGAATGATTTTGTGTTTTCGTGCCTTATACTCCTTTCTAACAACTAAGACCCATAAAAGCAAACATCAAATACAAGAAAAAGAAAAAAAGAGGTAACAGAAAATAAATATACAAATTGAAAAAACATGAAATTTTTCCTTAAAGTTGTATTTGGTACAGGACACTCACAGCTGGAAGTCCTACTCAAAAAAGACTTAAAATCAAAGGGCATACAAGTAAAAGCCCACAAAGAGACCAAAGATCATAGCTATGGCCTCACTTGCCACCTAAAGTGGGGAACTCCCCAGGATCTTCAATAGCTGGAGCAGGCGAATTGTACACCCTGTTACCTCCTCCACCACCATATCCACCACCTCTTGAGCCACGACCACGTCCCCTGCCACGACCTCCAAATCTCTCCCCTTCAGCAGGCTTCAGAAACTCGTTAATGCTGACAGACTGCACAATGACAACATAGCCAAAGCTGCTATGTCAGCAACATGACCTCAAAACAAATGGAAGCAAAAGACAAGAAGAAAGAGAACAATAATAGTCTGGGTCAGCCAAAGACTTTTATCAGGTTTCCCCACTTGAGAATTATTGATTTTAGCAACAATTTAACGAATTTGGGATCTTTAGGGTATCAAGTCAATGAAAAAGATGTTTCCTGGTTTGATCCCACATCAGGGAGTAAGCCACATTTTTCTAATTCTAAAAATTCTATGATTCCACAGCAAAATAATCTGGGTCAGCCAAAGACATTTCCTAGGTTTTTCCACACAAAAACTATCAAATTAACAGCATTATGCGGATAGTGGGATCTAAAAAGTCCCGGGTCAATGAAAAAGAAATTTCCTGGTTTGACCCACAGATATGAGTATGCCAATTTCTCTATTCTAAAATTTCTATGATTTCCCTAGTCAACTAAAACAGAGATGATATATTACTTCCTAGTGGCCAGTGCTAAGTTTACATACTACTAATGGTAAGTTTTTTTTTTCCCCCCCTTAAACTCAATGTCGTCCACCTACGTGAAATTGGCTCTAAGATGGAGTAATATGACTTATAAACTGGCTCATAAGGCATATTAAAATGCCGAGCCACATGACAGGCAAGATTGTCTTTCCAACCAGCAAGGCAATCCTTGGAGATGCCTAAAGATTATCCATGATTTACTAACAAGTAATAACCAGTGAAAAGCAAATAAGCAAGGATGCACAAGGACAAGTGTTATGATGAAAGTGGAGAATACATGTAGAAATGTATGACAACCCCTACTTTCAAAAAGACACCAGCAGCCATATCACAGTTGCTTTATCTTTACATCCTAACAAGCTACTCAACTGTCTCCACCCAAACAGACACAAATCAAAGGGGCTTGACAAAAATGGAATGTGATGTAGAGTAAATACTGTAAAGAGCCTAGTAACCTCTTTGCAACCAAGAAAATACAGTGAAAATGTAGCATACATATCTCAATAACATTACCTTCTTCACTTTCTCCTTTTCAAGTGATTCCTTCTTCTTATCCTTGTCAGAACCCTAACAGGGAGAAAAAGAGAAGATGAGAAAGGTGTAATACGCGTTAATAAAGATTAAAACAAATGCACTTATGTTGGTATCAGGAAGTTTACCAATTTAATGAAAACTGATTCTTCCTCTTTCTTGTTTGAAAGCTGCTGCATGGACTGGAGATCTTTGTCAACCTCCACCTTCCGCTCCTCAGTCTTGAGTGCTACTAGAGCTTTCCTCTTCTCTTCCAGCAGCTTCTCATACTCTTCAAGAGTCATCTCCTATTAACAAAACATTATAAAAACACAAGTATGTTCAACATTCAATCTGCAATAATGACCTGTTATAATAAGCCTCTTAGACCCCTGATTACCTTAGCTCACAGTATTGAATGATTTTCTGTCTAAAAAAACTATGTTAAATGAATCAGCTAACTATCAATCAAACTTCCAAATACATCAGTCTTTTCACGATACTCAAGTAATAAAGTGGAAAGGTGGGTTTTGTTTCATAATTGTTGCCATTTTCTGATGCAACTTCTTCTCACTCACAATCCACACTTATGTCCCACATGAGGTGGGTCTTGCAAGATAAAGGAAGTGAGCACATTTAAACAAGGCAAAAGGCATTTCCTCGGCAAAATGTTAGCATGCTACGAGCGCAACATCTTTTTTGTATTAAGATCCAAGCAAACAATTGATAAATCACATCACATAGCTAAAGAAAAAAAGGCCTACAAAATATTCTTTTTCATTCCTCTTAGTTAATTGGAAATTTTCTTCCTGGAGTTGATTATATGAATACTTCATGGCAAAAGCCAACACGCATAAGTTTTGCATTGTAAGAATTATTATTTTTATAAAAAATAAATATAAAAACACACTCAATGAGCTACTAATACAGAGTACCAGGAAACCTCGGATGGACACTAGATAACATTTTGTTTTTACTTTGTTGGCCTTTTCAGTAATCACGCTTACATTACCCTATTCTTTTCCTGTATAGTCATATTGTATGGATATTACCTGACCATCGCAAGACCCTATATCGGATCACTTTAATGAACGAAAAAACCTCCAAGTAAAAAATGTATGATGCTCCTCTATGACGTTTGTTGAGAAAACCATACTAGATGGGGAGGGAGGTGATAAACCAAAAGCAAGATACAATGATTTTTGAAATCAACATCACAACTCACAAGTACTTGAGGATTCTAAGCTCCAAAATATCTGATAAGATGATTTATCCTCTTCCAACCCTTTTATACTGAAACAGGATTTTTATAACTATGATATCTCACCTTACCTTATAAAACAAATTGAATAGGTAGATTGCATAATCACACTAAAAATGCAAACTGATCTTCAAACAATAGTCACCAATACTAATCCCTAAGCAAAGACAATGTATGCATCGCAGGTAAGGAAATGCACAGTTAGATGGGGGCACAAAAGTCAACTCCTGAGTATTACCAGAACAAATTCTTCTTAAAAATTTAATGAAAAATAAACTCAACCTCAACTTTATGAAAAGAAAATAGTGGCACTAAACTGACATATACCTTTTCTTCTGGTTCCTTTTCTTCAGTCTCCTCTGGCTGGCCCTCCTTGTTGCCTTCAGGAGCATCTTCTACAACTGGAAGATTCTCAGTGTTCGGATTCTTCTCATTTTGTTCTCCAGCTTCCTCAGTACCACTGATAGTCAATAGCATATTTAGTAGCAAACATAGCAAGAAAACAAAAACAAAAAAAGCTCTAAAATCCAGGAATAATATTGAAGTAGTAACATAGGAGAAAACAATGCTGCAAGTGCACAGAAATCTCACGGAGCAACTTCTTCTGATTCAGCACCCCAATTTCCACGGCCAAATCCCTCACGTTTGACCTCTTGGCTGGAAGGAATAGAGGGAACGAATGTTTGTCAGCAAGAAATCAACAGGAAAAAGGACACAATTACACACGCAAAGAAGGAACACTTACCCACGTCCAGTCCCACTTCGACGTTCATAGGTTCTTCTTGATCGGTCTCCATCTCTCCCCTCCTCATTGTTGAAACCACCACGGCGACCACCACGGAAAGGGGCACGAGGCCCTCCAAAAGGTCGCTTTTCCCTTCCTTCTTCACCCCTGTCTCCTTGACTGATCGCTCCAGTGTTGTTAAAAGCATTTTCATTGCTCGAGTAGTCTCTATTGTAACCACCACGTCCACCACGATCACCACCACCACGACCACCTCCACGGCCTCCTCCACGTTGGTTCTCATTCTTTGCCTCCCGAACTACACCAATTACACAAGAGCCAATGCCAATGTATGGAATAAAAAGCAAAGCCCGATGAGGAATGGATAATAAATACCAAATAGACTCATAATAACCACAATAACATTGGATTATAACTCCAAGGCATCAAATTGGAGTTCAAAATTGCTTACCACAGTTCAAACAATACCTCAACTAACTTCTCAGTTAAACATGAAGATCTCGAAACATAATCAGTTTCCAAACTCAATCAAGCACACGCCTTTTAAAACACTAAATACTCAACACAAACAATTACAAACAAAAGAATAAAAACTAAACATACAAACACCACAAGATAACACAAAACACAATCCAAACCAACCACAAATCCAGAGATTACACACAAAAACACTGCAATCTCCAAACTTACAACAACCCACTTCCTAGAAACATATCATATCAATCATCAAACACCAAAAACAGCATAAAACAATCCAATTAACAACAACCCAGATGCTCAAACCTAAATTACAACCAACAAATTACCAAAACAATAATCCATTTCAACAAAACATAACCACAAAATCAATCAAAACCTCACCAGCTTGAGATGGGGGCAAAGGTTTGGAGGGCAATTTCGCAGCCTTTTGTTGCTGCGATTGAGCACCTCCCTGAGCTGGGGTTTTCTTCGGCGCAACAGCCGCCGCAGCAGCCGCCTTCTGCAGCTGAGCTGAAGCCTTTTCAATTAGCTGCGAAGGGTCATCGTTATCGTTGTCACCCAACAAATCAAAAGGGTTCATAGTCGCCATTTTTTCAAGATTTGAATTGGGTTTTTAGCAAAAATTAATAAAATGCTACAAACCCCAGAAGATCAAATCAAAATTAAGAACAAAAAAAGGGGGAAATTAATTTGTTTTCGATACCATTTGGGAAATTATAATTTAGATTGGTGGGATGTTTTCAGGCAAAAAATGTCACATCCAACGAGAGAGAAGAAAAGAGGATAGAGGAAGAAGAGGAGA